CTGTTATGTGCTAAAAGAAAGCGATTAAAGCAAATAGATGGGTTGAAGGATATGAGAGGGATTTTGGAGTTGTCTTCAAAATTGTTTAATACTGTAATATATATTTGTATTAATTAATATATTAATACTATATAAATTGTTATAGCAAAATGAACCATCCAAAATAACCTCTGATATGAATCGACGTTTAAATCAAGGAAGGCTGTATTTTCTCTTAAGCTTGGTTGAACAATCTAATGATCCTAATTATTATTATATTAAAAAATGTCATGAATTAGAAATTATTGATTTATATTGCAATGAAGAACTAATTGAATTCAAAAAGGAAAATATTACTTATCTTCAACCAATGATGGAGCAATTAACTAATAATTTCAGTATTGCATCACGTTATGGATTCTATGTTACAAATGCTGTTACAGGCGAATGCCCACAATGTTTAAATTATGTTTAGAATGGACCATTTCATGACGTCTGTAAGCATTGTCATACTGCAAGAATTTTTTCAACAGTACAAATAAATACCACAAATGTGGTACATGAGACAAAGAATAAACTGGTCAATTTTTTTAAAAACAAAGAACATGTTGTACCTTCAGATCAGAAAAACAACACAATTTATCTTGGGTCTATAGATGAAGCTTACCAAGAAATAATTCACCTTTACAATATTAAAGGTATTATTATTATTATGATTATTATTTTACAATTGATATATTCTAACTAATTTAAGCAATATTATAGGTGTACAAATTTTTTATCCTTCAAAAAAATACTCAAACATTTGCACTGATCCTTTTCGACTATTGGAGTTAAACAAAAAACAATTAATGAATAATGGGTCACCACCAAAACTATCAGCAAAACTACACAAACCTAGCCGTATTTTTTGTTCAATCCAACTTCAAGATATGGATTATGAAAGTCTACTGCCTTCGGTTCAAAAAAGAAAAACAAGTATAGGAAAAGCAAAACGAAATATTAAAGTAATTATTCACTTAATTTTACTTATTTATGATTGAAATTTAATTTTATTTAATTTTATTTAATTTAATTTTCTTTACTTTTATTTAATTTTCTTTGAATATAGTATCAACATAATGAAACGTCTTATCCAAGCTTCGGAACAACCTCACAAACTATTAATGAACGCTCAGTAACTATAACACCTGAATTATCAAATGTGACCCTTCAACAACCATCTAACATGTATTCTATTGTTACTTCTCAATCGCAACCCATGGTACTTGAAACTTACCAGTCTATTTCAACTACAAATTCTCAACTTATAGGTGATTCAGAAATACTAAAACACAGATTAGACCTGGCATGTCAACATGTTTTGAATGTCATTAAGCGCTAAATATAGTCAATTAAATATAATAATGTGTTTAGTTCTTTTGCCATAGTAAAGCTAAGTTTATGCATAAATATACAATAAAATACAACATCGTGTTTAATGAACAATTAAATGCTATAAAAACAAAAAACTAATAATTATAATGATGTAATTAAACATGGCAATTAGCATTAATAACCAAAAAAAAGCGATTAATTATTTCTTTACATTATTTATTTCAATTTTTGTTGCTGCTTTTTTCATAATATACATGATAATAGTTATCAATGCTAATGTTATAGTACTGTAAGTTTATTGGTTGAATCACGTGATCATATATTTAGTTAGTACAGTAGTATCAACAAAGTAATGAAATTTTGGGGTACATCTAAGTGTATCAACAAAGTAAGTACAAGTGTATCAATTTCATAAGTTTTGCCATTTAGTTAGTATAGTAGTATCAACAAAGTAATGAAATTTTGGGGTACATCTAAGTGTATCAACAAAGTAAGTGCAGGTGTATCAATTTCGTAAGTTTTGCCCCGTTGATACAGACCCGTTGGTACAGACCCGTTGGCATAGACACAGACCCATTAGCACAAAATATTATTTATTTTTATATAAAGTTCTAAAAGATATAAAAACTCTGTCTTTTTGCCTAAGGCAGAATAGGTTCTGCCAGGTCCTAACTTGTATTTTTTATTCTTTTCCCTATTAAATAAATAATATACCTTTGACCATATACTCACTACCATGTATATACTCTTTTTATTGTGTTTTTATAGTGATTTATAGTGTTTTCCTTGAGTTTTACTTGAGTTTTTATCCTATTTTTATTGTATTTTCTTGGGTTTTTCTTTCTATTTCTTATATTTTATATCCTATATCCTGAGTTATTTTTGAGTTTATATCCTTTGAGTTTATTCCTTTTGAGTTATATCTGAGTTTTATTTGAGTTTTATTTGAGTTTTACCTTTTATATACACATATCCTTATTCTCTTCACATTAAGTCAAGTAGTATAGTTAGCAAGGCCAGCTTTCTATATTACAGTTTTGGCAACAATGACAGAACCTGCAATTCTCTGTATTATTGTGATAAATTCTTCCCATACAAGTTATATTCTTCTTATTTTTCTTTTATTTTCTTTTTTCTTTTTTTTTTTTTTTCTTTCTTTCTTGCTTCTTGCTCTTTTTTTCTTTCTTGCAACTTTCTTTCTTCTTTTATTTATTTATTTTTAACTCTTACATAATTTGGTCTTCACCAATCATCTTATTATTACACAAGATACTCTTGTGCTATCTTAAAACAATTATTTTATTTTTCCTTACCATAGCCTCTGTAATAACTAGGGGACCCCAAAAATAATATTTGGGTAATATTATACAAAACAAAAATTTTTTTAAATTCCCTTCTTCTTATATTATATCTATTCTACTATATTTTACTATATCTTCTTATCGAATATTTCATCTAAATTATTAAATTTTTCTAAATTTAATAATTCTTTCTAATTACTTTTAGAAATTTCTTCTTATATTATATTTAATTTATTATCCTTTATTACTTTTACTCCTCTTTGTTTATCCTTTTTTTTATTTTATATTTTCTTAAAATATAATATTGAGTAAAAGCTAATTCGTAAATAATACTTTGGCAAGTATTAGCTTGATATTATACAATTTATAATATAAAGTGATAGCTAAAATCGTGAATAATACTGTTACAAGTATTAGCTTTATATTATAAAGAATTTAAAAAGCTATATATAGCTTATAACAGCCTGATTATTGGTACTTAGTACTTCAGTACTTTTATTTCTCTGGTTATATCTACGGATATTTTTACATTCTTGTGGCTAATAATCCTTGTAAAGGGAAAGCACATTAGTGTTCTACTGGCTAATACAAAAGAAATAGTAGACGAAATACACCTTCTTGATCTACTGAATAAGCTCTATAGTATCTAGAAGGCTATTAAATTTAAATTCTGTTACTTCATTTTATCTTCTTTATTTTTTTCTTTTATATATCATTATCTTTTTCTTTTTTTTATCTCTTTTAAACTTCTTTTATAAAACCTTTTTTACAAAATATTTTGATTTTGCTTGGCAATTTTTAAACCATATTTCAACTAGCAAGGAATATAATAGTTTAGTTAAAAAACTTGAAGTAGCTATTAACTTACTTCAATTCAAATCTCCTCTTATCTCTAAACAAACTTATATTCTATTTAAATATTCTAAATTCTTTAACTTTTCTTGGAGCAATGGCAAATCTAAACCATTATCTGAAGAACTTTAGAACAACAGATAATTTGTCGACTCTGATTTTAATATATCTGCTCAACCTTCTGTTTATTATTTAAAATTTTCTAATCCTGACAATCCACAAGAAATTACTTATACCTTACCACCTGAGAGGAACTCTGCTACATCACATCACTTTTACATTGCAACCGAGTGTGCAGAATTAAAATTATTTGAAACAGAAATAGATAATAATACTTTCTTTCATAACGGTATTCCTCAATTATTCAAATATCAACAACAATATAGATTTTCATTTCATCTTAATTAATTCTTTATGAATATTGTCCAATATTAAAATCAAATTTGAGATCATAAATTTTTACATAACACTAATCAAGCTATTACTAAAGCAAAATACAATAGTAGACCCGATTCTAGCTACCCTGAGTGTAATCCACCTAATCTTAGTTTACATCATTCTCAACAATTTGTATGATTTTGGAGTTGATATAGTTATAAATACCAAGCTATCTATATTATCTGTATAACTATTGATATCTTTGAGGAAGCATATCAAGCTATAGCAGATGATCAATTCTTTGAATCTATTCTTTATCTTTTAATAACTACTATTTATTATAATAACAATCAACCACCTAAAGAGTTTAAACAAATAGCACTTGAATTAAAAGCCAAGTGGCTAGAAACAGAGAAATTTAACTATATACTAGAAAACTTTGAAGATTCTGAATAATAAACTGATACTGAGTCTAAATTAGAAATTGTATATTCTGATTCTAACTCTCCAATCTCTCAGCAAATACTCTGAGCAGAAAAATTAAAAAGGCTAGTAAACAAATTCAACAAGGCATAAACCAAGCTCAAAGTCTTATTATACAGTTGAAAAGTAATTTAGAACTAACTGAAGAGACAACACAATCAACATTACATCCTCCTCCTTTAAATAATCAAAACAATAATACAGAACTTATCTTTGAACAAGCCTATTTTCAAACTATTAATCAATTTACAAATATGTCTTAACATGCTTAATCAGAACTAGAATATAATAATAATCAAATTATCTATATAGTCAACAATAATAATAATCAGAGGATGATCTCTTGCACCAAAAATTTCACTAATACCAACCTATGAATATTGTATAGTTAGTATGTTTCTTCATAACAAAACTTTGCCAAATAGCATCTGGGTTCAAGAGTTTCAAATTGCATGTAAGCGCTATGAAATAGAGTTGAAAAAGACAGCTTCTTGTGGGTTTGGCTCTCTGGTAGAAGTCTATAGAGCTATCAAACAAGTAGCTTTGGTAACAACCAAGAAAGTTTTTGTCAAGTTATATCAGAGCAAGTGCAAGGATAAAAGCTTGGAT